AAAACCCCAAAACCCCAAAACCCCAAAACCCCAAAACCCCAAAACCCCATCAATTAAGCAATATTTTTGTAAAGCTATTCATTATAAATAATGCAAAACAATAAAAACTCGAAAACGGTGAATTCAATTAATTTACTCTTCTTTGCTTAACTCTTTTCTATACTATTCGATATCTGCATTTATCATCTCTATATTATCATTTAGATATAGCCATTGCTAATAGGTTAATTATACTGGCTAGTTTAATTCTCTCTTTTATCCATCATCTTCTATATCATATTATCCAAAGTTTATTTTGACATCAAATAGGTTTTTACAAACTTTTTGCTTCTAAACTTAAAGCCAAAGCCCATCTTAATTTCTTCTTGGCTTACTTAATGTGTAGTAAAAGCCATTCTGGTCTGATAATGATTTCTTCTTAAGCAATCATTTATTTTTATAAAAGTTTTATCCATTGAAGGATGATAGGTTTTAGCTGTTATCATCTATGCTTAACATACTGTCACTTAATTATTACTGTCATAATTCTATTTGGTTTTACCTGTCTATTTGCTGAGCTTACAATGCTTTACTATGATCTTATTTTTTCTATTGTTATTAAAATTGACGCTAAATATTATCAGGCTTTACTTTCTGCTCCTAGTTTTAGGACATGATTTTTTTTAAATTTTATAGATATAATCTCTCAAGATCTAGTTATTCTTTTTGTTTTTGAAAGATGTCAAACACTTTTTAAGTTTCCCTTTGCTACTAATAATTATGAGCTCTGTCATGGAGTTCGATTATCTTAATATCTTTGATACTGTGAAGAGGTAAAGTGCTATTAATCTTATTAATTGATGTTTCAAGTTTATTAAATTACTTTTTTCTTCTTTTATTCTAAAAGCAAGGTGTCTAAACATCAAATCCTTACTAAAGATCTTAATTTCTAAATTTCATTATACTTTGAACTGATAAGTTAGAAATTTGGTCAAATTTGTTTTTATCAATGCTTTCAATAATTAGTGGCTAGAATTCAGACCCAAATGATTCCTTAATTGGAGTCTTGGACAATCAAGAACAATTCAAATGGCTGCTGGATTTTTATATGTTTTAGGTTTCACCTTCTATTTAGAAGAGTGATTTATCTTGACTGCACCCAAAAGAAATATCAAGAATGTCATCTTCATTCTTCCTCTTTACATTTTAATAACTTGGTCTAGAATCATCTATCTCAACTATGATATTTTATAAGATATCTTTATTAATGACACCACCTTCCATGAAAGTCTATCTTATTATAATTTCAAAACAATTTTAATATTAAAATATTAAAATATGATTGAGTCTACATAATAATCAATTATTCCTAATTATATTTTGGTTACTTTAGATTAATCATTCTTTCTTTCTATCTTTATTTTGTTGGGGTTTTGGGGTT